TTATTGTGATTAATCTGGAAAAATGCTTTCACGTATTGGCACTCCTTTGTCAATAGTTGTGTATTTTGGGGGAAAAAAAAACAGAAAGCAGGAGTCTGTTTATACTTAAAGTCCTCTGGGATTAAGAAATTTTCAATTTGAAATATGGAATTATCTGTTTTACATTATTTTGCATGTGGTGTTTCTTGTATTTCCCACTTATCTGGTAGTATACAATGAAGAGAGTATTGGTTAGAGAATTAGCAGATATTTGGCAGAGTAATACAATATTTAATCCAGTAAGAAATGAACTCTCCCATATCTAGCCATAATTCTAATACCAAGCAGTCAATCCCTTTTTGAGTTCATTTTACAGGGTTAATTAGTCTACCTTCATTTAATCAACTTGTTCTTTCAGTGTGAAGAAGTTGAGAATTCTCCCTTATTATTAACATCAAAATGGTAATAAGCAGTTGTTCTTTTAGTGTTAATAAGAAGTTGAGAATTCTCCCTGAGAATTATCCCTTCTTACTAATGTCAAAGTGTTCCTCTACCACAAGTGCTCGCAATATCATTAAGTTACTCATCTTCAGCTGATCATCATGCACTGCATTGTGTGCTATTTGCAGGCAAGTGGTTGTGATATTCCATGCCCAAATTTCAGAGGCATTATCCAAAATTGATATTAGCACTCTACAAGCTAAAACCAGGTAGTTATATGTTGAAGCTTGCACGCATTTTTGAGTTCTTAAGAGTTGGTTAATTTCTTCTTATGATCCCTTCATTTGAAAAATGTCTCTCTTTACTTTTCCGGTGGATTCTTATTTGACTTGGATTCTTTTCCCCCTTCAAACAGACTTCATCGTGATATTGAGAGCCTTCTTCAATGCATTAGATCATTGCCTTCTGGAAATTGGAGTGACGCTAGTCCACCAAATTGGGGGCAACTAGATGAACTCTTGGTGCAAAGATTTGGCAGAGAAGTTGATCCGTAGATGCTTGTAAAGTAGTTAGTTGATAATTGTGGATTAACAACTAATCGTATCTGCTGGGACAATCTGAGGTGCCATAAGCCTATAATTGGATTGTTATACCTCCAATTGAGGTAAGAGAATTGTCATATTTCGTCATTTTGTTCCCCCCCCCCCCCCCCAAAAAAAAATTTATAAGATTTTACTTATCTCCCATTACCTGAGTTTGCTTTGTTTTCTTTTGGTGGAAGTATGAGAAAGATACAGCTGGTTGACTTCCTTTGTTTGGATCAGTTAGTTGTCATTTTCCTTATATTGTATATCTGATAGATGAGAATGAAAGAGAACTTAAAGGTCAAAGTTGTTGGTAGATGAATGGTATTAGACTTCATTTAATAGCTTTGCTTATTTAACAGCACAATGTTATTGACTTGTATTTCAACCTGAATGGTGTTGGGATAGGGTGGTTGAGTTGTCGTATAAAAGATCGACCAGAAGCATGTAATGCTCTCGTTGTGCCATTGCTACTACCACAGTTTCCTCTTCCAGACGTTCCAAAACTTGAGTACATGAATTTTATGTTGTGAAAATACTATTTTGTCTTTATTAGGGGCCTTTTGCTTCTCTTAGTTCAAAATTTTGATTCAGAGGCACAATAGGTGTAAAATTCTAAAGTGTGCTTGCATGTGGTACTTGGTGAAACTCACCATGTTGAGCACAACCGCACTGGATGATTTGAGGGGTGACATCGAAATACAACCATTTGCCATCCTCATGACAATGAGTTTCTGACTGGGGGTGCTTGTTTAGTTTAGTGACATAGGTGAACCTTCAATAAGATGAGTAATTCTTGTTAAATTGTATAACCTGCTATCTTTTGCAAATTTCTAGGCTCCCATCCCCTTTTTCTCGTTTCAGGATTCAATGGTATGGGTTGTATAAGAAATTTACCGTTGGTTATTAACTAGCTATGACAATAATGTTTTAGTGAAGATGATTGTGTGCCTCTTGAATAAGGGAACAAAGAACACGTGTAACAGTTGTTCTGAAAGCATCTTATCATATCAAGCAATTGAAAAAGATTCTCATGCACTGCTTGCTTGTATTTTGCACTGACGTGAAATTTAGTTTGTGTGTGGAAATCAGCTTATGTGATATAGAAACTTTGATAACATGTGCACTGCATGAAATATTCTGATGCTGACTCAACTAGTAAGTACTATGCGTTCCGTCTGTTTTAGAGTGAGAAACTGAAGGCATCAAAATAGTCATCTCACTTTCTTGGTAACTTTGGACTTGCAGGAGTTCGTTTGCTCTTTCAATGTATCACTCCTCGTGCAAATTCGAATGTGCAGGAGAGGAGAGGATCTCTTTTAACTGTTGTTTTTAGAAATCATGTGTACCATTTGCGAAACCATTGTCTATAGAAATCCTAAAACAGCTGAAAAGGAGTCAGATATGTGCAGTTCATTTTGCCCCATGATTTTGTTGTTTTAGTATGGGGCTGCTGAGTTTTTACCCTTTTTTATTTTTTCCTTTTTTTGTTCTTCAGTTTTGTCATCCAATTTTTTTCAGGTTGATATATTATCGTACGGATCAATTGAGCAATGTGCGGATGTGAAACTACTGCATAAATTATCTTTCTCTGATTCAAGTATGCGTTTAATATGATTCGTTTTACCTCCGAATTCAATAGACTATTTGTTTCTTGCGCTTCTGTCAGTTCTATGGAAAATATATATTGAGTTGGTGTAAATCTGTTGCAACTCGTGATCTATGAGAGTCCCGGGAATTGCAGTGTAAGAACTTTTCTTTGTTTTATTTAACTCCGAATCTTTGGCGTAAAACCGAATTGGCAATTGCGCACCGAGTGGAATGCATGCATTATTCGCTGTGTACGAGCCTATCTGCATTAACTGGAACCACATCAATTGTCATAATATGTGGGCTTGCTAAACAACAGTCTATACGGGTGTAATCCGTATGGTTTAATGGTGGTTCGGTCTCCTTCACATTATCCTTGGGGCTCTTTAGGTTTCTCTCTCTTTAGTATAGAATGTTATAGGTCTATTATATCCGACAAAAAAAAAAAGAAAAAAAAAGAGCCTATCAGCATTAACTGGTCTTTTTCCTTGAGTACTAGCAAGGGAAAATCGTTCAATAGATTTTGAGTCAAATGAATTTTTTTATTCATCATTTTTAAAATGTTAACTTTACATTTTTTTTATAAATTTAAATTAATAAAATTGTGTTCCTATTTAAGTTTTTGATCACTTTTTAGTTTAAAATTACCATGTGGTCTATATATATATATATATATATATATATATATATATTATATATCAGAGTTAACCACTTCAATTATACTTACTATTGTTAAATGACAGAGCCAGAGCCTTTCAGGGGAACTTGCTTGTACTCTTAATATGTAGATGTTTGGGCTGGATATGTGATGTTAGTTTGATGTCAATGCACTAAACATTGTACATTCTAACATAAATTTACAATGAAAATTAACAAAAGGATTGCTCAGTGATTAGGAACTTAGGGATCACCCAATGCTAAGAAGCAGACGCACTGTGATACTCCTTATGCAATAGTTTAGAACCCTGAATTGCTAGAAACTTAAATATTTCATCTTAAATCCCATCTTCTAAATGGGCTTGAAGTCTTTCTGCAGCAGAGATTTAGGTCATATTGACCAGTACTAGACATGAACATACCATGTAGGAATTAGGTTTCCTAGATACTAGCTAAATCAGGGGAACTTGCTTGTACTCTTAATATGTAGATGTTTGGGCTGGATATGTGATGTTAGTTTGATGTCAATGCACTAAACATTGTACATTCTAACATAAATTTACAATGAAAATTAACAAAAGGATTGCTCAGTGATTAGGAACTTAGGGATCACCCAATGCTAAGAAGCAGACGCACTGTGATACTCCTTATGCAATAGTTTAGAACCCTGAATTGCTAGAAACTTAAATATTTCATCTTAAATCCCATCTTCTAAATGGGCTTGAAGTCTTTCTGCAGCAGAGATTTAGGTCATATTGACCAGTACTAGACATGAACATACCATGTAGGAATTAGGTTTCCTAGATACTAGCTAAATATTCAAAATGGCTTGTAGTAGTATTTGATAACTTTATTAGCCTTAGGCTTCTCTTCCCTTGATTCAATCTCTGATTGGAGTGTTCTAGTGTAACTACTTTTGGAATCCAGCCAACCATGCTTAGGCAGATCATGCTTTTGTCTATCTTTTGTCATTGTAGATCTAATTTGTTTGATTACTCAAATCAAGCTTCTGCCTCCTAGCTGTTCTTGTGATACATTTCTCCACAGTTAATGGAATATTGGCAATTCCCATCTTTTACAGGTGGTTCTAATGTTGCACATTCTTATGACTTTGGGTTTTATCTGGAATCCCATTATAGCCTGAATATCTCCCACTTTCATATGCATATGCTTTTGTTGCTGAAAATTTTGTTCCAATTTCCAAGAGAAAGTTGGAAAAACTCTCGAAGAGTATTTAGCACAACTGGTAGAAGTAAACATTGAATTTTAATGTAGTTAGCAGCAATATGGAGATAGAAACAGCGTCTCACTAAGCTCGAATGAGTTGTAGCTGAAGTTTTAGCAGAGTTTTCTTTCTTGTTACCTTCTTTTTGTATGGGAGGAATTTAGATTCAACAAGTCAGCTCTGGAAATGGTAAGAAGGCCCTTAACAACATTGCTTACTCCTTGCCCCTCAAGTTTGAGCAGAGTTTTCTTTCCCGTAACGTTCCTGTTAGGGTGTTATTGGGAGGGATTTAGATTCAACAAGTCAGTTCTGGAAATGGTGAGAAGCCCTTAACAACATTGCTTATTCCTTGTTGCCCCTCAAGCTGAGCTTATCTCGCTGGGTCTTTGTTAGGTTCTGCTGTTTTCGTCCGCCCTAAATTGGAAGAGATATTTTATAGATTTAGAGAGCTGATTGGTTCTTCTGTGTTATCTCTTTAGATGGTTTGTCCGCTAAAGGAGAACACTTCACGGTGTTCTGAAATGCTTAACTTTTGGACCAGGAAGACTCAGCTATTTAATCCTGATTTTGTCCCTATTCAAGAAATTTGGCTCTTTGCACAAAATACAGTCTTGAGAAGTGAGAGTTCAAGGGAAGGATGAATAGTGTCAATGGTAGTGTTACATTATGTAGAAGCTACAAAAATATGAAACATTCCAGCTATTTTGGCCTATCCTCACCTATGCATTTCTCGTGTATTTCTTCAGGGATTGAACGGGAGATCGCATCTTTACAGATGGAGGTGTGTCTACTGCAGCCAATGCCACTTACATTGTTTTTCTTCTATACTGTTTTCCTTTCTGAAGATTGTAGCCATTTGTATAAATATTGTATTACATGTTTGGTTTGTTGGCAGAAATCTAACGCTGATATGCTTTTTTAGGAGAAGAAACTAGTTGCAGAGATTAAAAAAACAGCAAAAACTGGAAATGAGGCAAGTTGTCTGATTTGCAATTTATTTTTTCTTTCCGCATAAGATTTATTTGGTATATTGTTGTTCTCACCAAGTAACTCAGCTTGATTAGGCATATTCTCATGGATAAGATATTTATTCATTAACAGGGCCTTAAGGCCTGAGTTAATTCTTGTTGGTGTTTGTATTAACACTTGCATGGGTTTGACTGTCAATAGGTAGTGTCTGGATCACATGTTGAATAGAAAGTGGTAGAAACGCCAGATACTACCTGTTGACCAGTGAATGTGTATTGCTTATTCTCCTTTATTTCCTTTTTCTAGCTCAGGCCATGCTACAATGTTGCCATTCTCTTGTACATGTGACCCAAAAAAAGTAGCTGCTTGCCAATGGCCGGGGTCTTACCTTGCTGGAATTATTAATGACATAGAACTCTTGAAGATGCAGCTTTTTCATATTGAAAAATGCAAATGAACTTTATTGAAAAATCATGAACTCAACTGACTATGATTTTGGTGCCCTCTGCACGTTGCATTTCCATGAAGAGATATGTAATTATGGAGTTGTTAGACAGGAACTTAATTAGTCGTTTTGCAATTATGTGTAAAATTAACTACAATTATTGAATTTGCAATTGCCACAGGTTTGTTTTAATTGAATCTGAATAAGAAATTTGCTGAATGCTTCAATAACAAAATTTACTTATGCAAAACAGGCTGCAACCAAGATTTTAGCACGTCAACTTGTTCGGCTACGGCAACAAATAGTAAACTTGCAAGGGAGCCGTGCCCAGATCAGAGGTGTAGCCACGCACACCCAGGTAACTTTTACTTTAACAACTTGAATTGGTTTCAAGAAAGTAGTATAATTGAGATATCTTTAGCCAACTGCCTGTTACTTTTGCAGGCACTATATGCCAGCACTTCTATTTCTACTGGAATGAAAGGTGCTACAAAAGCAATGACAGCCATGAACAAGGTACATATTAGATGCTTGACAAAGTATAATACTTTGATGGCTTAATTACTCAGATATCCCCATGAATATTTTTTTAGCTTCACATACTTTAAAGATTGATCTTGGTCATAATTAGTCTTCCAGTCGTGAAATTTGAGATATCTCTGAACTGGTCTTATACTCTGGATGCTCCGTTCCATGTAGAGTGGAATAATAATATCTAAAATTTTGAGATGCTACGAAGTGTATTGTTCCATGTAGAATGGAATAATAATATCTAAAATTTTTGAGCTGCTACGAAGTATATTGTTACTTAAGAGCTTCGATGAAAGCAAAGTGTCTTTTATTAGCGGCATAATATGTTTAGTTTGGGTACTATGATATTGCAATGCTCGTGGAATCTTTGGAGTGTATGCAACAGTAAAGCATTAAAATCTCCTTTTTGTGACTCAATTCTATCCTTTTGAATCCTGTGAACCTATTTACTGTGGACTTTTGATGACTTCTGAATCCGTGCTTTAGCCTTGATGTAATCATTTTGGTAGATTAGTTAATGCTTGCTAATAACTTGTAAATAACTTTGCCTAATTAAAGATTTGTTTATATCTTGTATTAGATACTTGAGACGAGATTCTTTGCTGGCCACTCATCCCTTTTCACTGTTCTTCTTTCTTCAGGAAATGGCACCCACAAAACAAGCTAAAGTGATTAAAGAGTTTCAGAAGCAGTCGGCGCAGATGGATATGACGGTAAACTTGATTAGGCTTCATTATTTTGACAAATAGTCTATATTAGCGAGTAGTTTCATTATCACCTTATAGTGTAAGATCAATCCCTCACAAATTGTAGAACAGTTGATGACTGCAAAAGTTTGGCCCTGTACAATTTCAGATATTACAGTGCAGCTATTTTGCTTCATAAACTTTTCCAACATAGAACAAAAGATTGAGTTTTACCTTTCTTTTTCTGTGACTTGCATTTTGGTCTTTACTCTAGATTGAGATGATGTCGGAATCTATTGATGAAACCTTAGATAAAGATGAGGCTGAGGAGGAAACAGAGGAGCTTACTAACCAGGTTATTAGCATTTCCTTTGTCAATTGAACCTTTCTTCTCTATTTTTATGTCCTTTCTCATCCTCTTAACTTTTAATATTAAAATGCCCTTTTTTTTTCTAGGTTCTGGACGAGATTGGTGTGGATATAGCCTCACAGGTAGGTTTATTTTGAGGATTTTCTTTCTGCAATTTGGTTTATGTCAATTTGATGTTATTCCCAGAATCTATCAAATTTCTGATTCTGATTTCCATTTTCCTTGCAGCTGTCATCTGCTCCAAAAGGTCGGATTGCAGCAAAGAAAGTTGATAATGCTGCCCCCCTAGGTATGTTCTTGTTTTGACTGAAAAGGAAATGATTTCTTATTGCCTTCTAAATATTTAAACATTTTAAGACCAGATTCTTTGGATGTGAAATGTTCGAGGACTTGGAAATAAAAGCTGTTTTTCTATCCGTGTTTCATGGATGATGGGTTTAGCTGCATATGCTATTTGCATTCTCCAATTTGTTTGTCTGGCTGGAGTTCTCCATTACGTGCCTGCTTTTGCGAGTATAATGGTGTCTAAACTGTCTTGTGTGCCTTCTTGTCGGAGTCCACTGCCAAAAAAATGAAAAAAATAAGCAAGTAATACAAATGTTTCTTTGATCTTTATAAAAGCTCAAAAATTATCAACACGATGAAGTCTCTAGCTGGGGCTGACCACTTTTTCATGTCCTGGACCAGATAAAGTAAAAGAAGGGGTAGTCATTTGAGCATGCATTTGTTGTCTCCTTAATCCTTACTGTTTGATTATCAGTTCAGTCTCCTGCTTTTTTACCTTTCTTGATTTTCCAGACTAAAATAGAAATATAAAACCTCTACTTTTTCCGATGAAATAAAACAAAGGTGGTACGCTACTGTTATTTTTGGTCTGCCATTTTTCTAGCTAGGCAACTAGAAGTTTTAAAAAAAAATCATGCAAGACAAATGTGGTGAAATTGATGTTATAGGTAAAACTTTGTGACATAACAAGTGCACAAGAAATTTAGTAGTAGGAATTGGTAATGAACTCATATTGTGAGGTATTCGTCAGTGCCTAACATCGTCAGAAGTTTCTGTGCACTGAATTGTTAAACTTCATTTTCTTTGGGGATGATGGGGGAGTTTCAGGACATTGCTGAGGCACAATTCTGTAAAGTTTGCAAATGCTTCCTGCATCTAATGTGGGTTTCTTCTGGCTTTGGTAAACCTGCTAGGTCTTTTTGACCTTTCTTATTAAGATTTTTATTGAAACAGTGCTACCCCTGGAAAGCATTTTCTACAACATTTGCGAATGCTTCCTGCATCCCATGTTGGTTTTTGGTTTGCTAAACCTAGCTTGAACTTCTTATTGAATAACCTTTTATCAAAATTGATTTGAGTTTGAAAAAAATGCTACCCTTGTAAAGCATATCTGGAAATTTTTAACTTTCAAACTTACGCATCAAACAGAGTTGATTTCTATGACTACCCTTCATGGTTGGTAAATCTAGCAACACCATGTGTATTTACAGTTTTGTGCAATCTTTGAAAATCCCTTCAACTGCTGTGCAGCTCTGCAACTGCTGATGTTGAGGATCTTGAGAAACGGCTAGCCTCCCTGCGCCGTATTTGACAAGGAAAGGGTGGTAGGTGGATGGATATTCCCTTTTGTAAAAAGTTATAGAACAAAGTATATGTATACTAGATAGACTTTTAGTACTTGTCGAACTTCATCTTCGTTGTTCTAATAAGCACTTTTGTATCTTGAGGAGGACCTTAAACTATTGAATTTGAGTATTGATAAAATCTTTTAGTATGGACATGATTACTCCTTATTGACTGGTTTTGCTCCCAAATCATTTGCAAGTCATGTTGATGTTTTAGGACCACTTTAGTCTGCTTCTGGTCAAATTTACCACGTACTGGATCCTGTTATAATTCATGTGGCAAGAATTCAGGCCAGGAAGGCCAAGTGAACCTACTGAAAACAATAAAAAAGATAAGGTTACTGCACTGGTTTCAGAAATGTAACAACACATAAATACAAAAAGATAAAGAAGTTAAACCTAATTACCTCTTCAGAGCAAGGTGAACTTCTTCTGAAAACCATTTCCAAATCCCTTCCAGTGCATGTTCTGGGATTGGCTTTTCGAGAGTCCGACTGAGCTTTGAAGTAGTTTCTTCAGATGTGATGATTTTCTTTGAAGCAAAAACATCAGGCCTTGTACTAATGAAGTTGGCTAGATACAGCACTGATACAATCCAGCTCATCTCAATACAGTTTCTTTTGAGTCAATCCCAATCCAGGAAAGCTTTTCTTCATGATCTGTAGACGTTTGTTAGCTCTTCCAAGGAATAAAGCATCGCAGGCAGTTTGCATAATCCCCTTTACATTCTGATTAGTTGCATTCACTGGCTTGTATGACTACTCTGAGGAATAGATTTTCGTCAAAGCTTATAAAAAACTTCAGGCCACCTACACAGCAATATAGTTACTCCTCCTTGTCCCAATGTATTTGGAACTGTAAAAACTGTCACGGTTGACAGTAAAGTTGTAGCATCCAGCCAAGTAGTATTTCGAAGCTCCTTCCTCAGTCCCCTCTGATTGCCCAGAAGAGGACCTCTCACTTAGATGCTCGATCAAGAACTCTACCAGCAGCTTCATCCACATTGTCAGTGCCAAGATTATATTTCCCAGTAAGTCGACCATATGCTTCTCCTGTTATCTGGCAGCCAATTCCTGGCTGTGCAAATGCCAGCCGGGAAACTATAGGTTTTGCTTTTCTTGGCAATCCAGTTATAAACCTCACAAATTCGTTGTGATGTTTCAGTTGTTTAACTGGAAGTTCCAAGGTTTTTTTTTTTTTAACCCCCTCAGGTTCTCATTTTCAATTCATCTCTCCTGCAGACAAGGCATGTATTGTTGGAATGCTTTGTTCATAACTGCAAATTAGGTTTTCCACCCACAAAGTTGAAGGAAAAGAGGGCGAAGATTTCCAATTTTTACACAGCTTGGAGTCAATGATTAATCGTAGCAAGATGTCCCGCGTCAACATTTTCTAGTTCCATTCACTGCAAAATTGTGAGAAGAATAATTTAAAGATGCTAAAGATGATCTTGTCCTAATCAGTCTATCATGGAAGTAGAGGACTAGACAAAATAAGCAATTTCCAAATTTGCAGCAACATCGTTTGAGAGCCAAAACCTGAACAATAAAAGAGAATGGAATCTACTGGGGTGTCAACGGGTTGGGTTTGGACCCGGACCTGACCCGGGTCCTTTAAATTTTTCTGAGTTTGGATTGAAAAATAATTCTAATAGCCGAATCCGGCTCCAGACAATATATTAATAATTATAAAATATAAATATTTCTAAATACATTCTTTTATCAAATTAATAATTTAGTAATGATTTTATAGATTGATTTGTGGTTAGTTTTGGATTCACTGTTGCTGAGTTATTTGTGATTTAGTTTTGTAATTTGATTTGTTTAAGTTTGGAGATTGGATCTGTGATTCGTCTTGGATTTAGTTTTAGAATATTTAAATTTGGATCTTTCAATCCTGGATCCAACTTGAACCCGACTCGGATCCGATTCCGAAACTTTAAGATCAAGATCCGTTGGCTATATAAGTTGGATTCGAATCTACTACATAAAAACAGGTTCAAGTCCAGAATTTTGAATTCCAACCCGAACCCAAGACAAAGTCATGCATAGCAAAAGAATATGCCGGAAGCATGAATATATCCCATATCTTGCTTTCACACAACCGAACTAAGCAAGAGAACAGGACAAAGCACAATCACTTGAACATGAAGTAGTTTTAAGAGGAAAACGGTCAATATAACTTAGAGTAGCCAAATAATTGTTCAACTCCGAATATTTTGGTTTCTTTTTAGAAGAATTGTAAACTACTAAAGTTTAAATTGGAGAGGCTATGCTTTTAGATTCTAAGCCCAATGATGATTTCAGCATACAGTAATGGGTAAATCTTTTATGATTGACAGTGTATACATTAACGGGTTTGTATACATGCCATATATATATAATTTGATTTGCAGATTCAAATTTAAATGACGTGGGATTTATCTAACTCTGTTCCATTTATACACTGACAGTATAAAAAAGTTTAATTCATACTAATAGGATAAATCTTTTACGCATTGACATTGTATACAATAGTAGATTTAGATGCATGTCACACATACCAAATTTGATATTCAAATTCAAATACAGATGATTTGAGAATTTTGACATCAACGGAAATTCTATAGCTCAAGGCATTATCAAGGTAGCTAATTATCATCCTTTAAAGCTTCTAGTATTAAGGATGTATGAACAATTAGATACATATCAAATTTAATTTAAACTAGCTAATGAGCCTCGCCTTGTGTGGGAGAGGCCGGTTGATATAAGGATAAAAGGAACGGGCTCTCAAAGGTCTGGCAGACTTGCATTGTGTTGTACGGATAAGCTGCTGATGATTTATTTGTATACATAGTACAATTATATGTCTTTTGGAGTACAAGAATTACAAGTGTTTAAACTTTAAACTCATAATAGTTGTTAATTGGGAGGAATGTATTAGGCAGCTGGTATTGGCTTGCTGTTTTTGCATTTGGTGCACTTGCATTTTATCCCGTTTCAAGTAAAAGGAAATGTTGTGATTCCGTGATTGATAAAGTGATAGGTGATTAGACCAAAAAAAAAAAAAAAAACGTTGTACCCATGCTTGAGCATAGTTGCTTGGCGACCAACGGATGTCAGTGCAAGTGAAAGGAACTTGCATCCCTTAATCATGAGATCTCGAGTTCGAAATCCATAGAAATGGAAAAAACAACGTTGAAAGAGCTTCCCCCTGCAAGAAGCTTGACCCAGTTCGAACAGGATTAATCGCAGACCGTAAAACGGATGCGGACGCCTATGAGTTATATATATAAAAAAAAAAATAGTTCTTTGGCGAAATAAGATTTTACAATTTTTTTTTTTTGAAAGTAGGAGATCCTTACTATCCCTCCCAATTTACCGTATAATCTGACCCTTCCCTTAGAATTGTACATTATAATTGTATGTGTACATGTGTGTATGTGTGTTTGTGTTTTCTTTTTCGACGTAGCCAAAAATATTGCTGCTAGTGACTGGGATATTGATTCACCAGGTATGGAGAACTATGGTGTATCACTATTTAAGCCTTCAACATCCAAATCATCGATATCAACTCCAGACAAGACTGAAGTCGAAATGACCCTAACAGTATAATTATTTACCTAGGCATATTAGCAGCATTTCAAGTTCGAATGTGGCAAATTTATTTTTTTTTTTAGCATATCGTTCCTTCATAGTAGGATATTTTCGTTTTGGTGGCATCACTTATGCAAATTCTTGAATCTATACTAAGTTGGTTTCTCACTTTATCCATAGCCTTGTGCAGAACTAAGCAAATATTTATCAAAATATTAGATCCAAAAAACACCTTACATGCGCAAGTAGTTCTAGATATGTCTCGGTTTAAATATCAATATAGCAAATGCAACAATTTAAACAAAAAAAAAAAAAGCCCCTTCTAATCAATAATTTTCTACGAAGGTGCTAAAGTTATCCAAAATACAGAATACACATAGAAAGCTGAAGCAAGTAAAAGCAATATTAACTTTTCACATAATTGAGAAACCACAAGAGTAGAAAGTGGCGACAACTGTGGTTAAACTAATTTTTTCTACAATCCCTGCAACAAAAGCCTAACCAGAAGTGTGCAAGTTTAAAAAAGAAAAAAATCAGTTATTTTTGCTCAATGATTACTGTAGCCAGACGTCATGATTAAAAGAAATATCAAGCTGTCTAAGTCATGAGCACAAGTGCATAACACAAAATGATTATCATCACACAGACCAAAGAGATGCACGAAGCAACCAATGCACTAAAACTTAGGAAACTTCCCTATTGAAAGGATTGACGGATGCAATATCTACAACTGGTATGAAAACTATGTGCATTCAAAAGCCTAACACCAATCGTCTGCTAATTTGACACTCCCCTCAGCAATCAAGCATAAATAAGGCAGACATCAAATGAATCAAATAAAAGACTACAACAATCTATGCGTACTGCAAGCAATTCAGTAAAGGATACTCATAACTTGGCAATTTTACAAATCCAATTACCTACACTCGGCAAATACTTTTGTATTCGATCCACCAATTGCATTAGAACCAGTGGACACAAAGTAGCCAAGTAATTAGATTTAAACTTGACTTTTGACTCCTTGAGAAACAACTTTGATCATTTAGTAATTTTGGTAATCAAACTTTAGACGAAAACAAGTCTGATATCCAATTTTACAAAATTTAACCATATTTGGTTCACAAAAATTTTTTCAAATTTTGACTAGAAAAAATTTACATGTTATCACATGTATGGTAAAGCTTCAGATAATGCTGAAGAAGAAGGCTGAAAATCCTTCTGCTCATAGAAGAGAAAAGGAATCTAAAAATGAAAAAAGGGAGGAAGCTAGAGATAGGGTATTTCAATGTTATCATTGCCGTTTTCAGTGTTCTCCTTCTATTGAGAAACTGAGGCAACATTACATTGATTTGCTGAAGAGATATATGCAGGTCCTGGATGAGCATTACAGA